GCCAATCCAAACATGAGCAGGAGGTCTGAGGGCTCCAGGATGTCTGTAGGAGACCAGGGGCCCAGAGGGATGTGATGGGACCACTGACATGATCAGTGGGTGTTTTCCAGCTCTGATGGTCAGGTTGAAAATTAATTAATAATAGGTATATAGAAACAAAATAGAGTCCAGAAATGGACCTACACTATATGGTCGATTAATTTTCAACAAATGTACCAATGCCATTTGATGAAGAGAGAACAATCTTTTTGACAAATTGCCATAATCAACCATAACCTTACACTACATAGAAAAATGAAGTCAAAATGGATCATGGACCTGCATATAAAACTATAAAATTCTAGAAGAAATTCTAGAAGAAAACACAGGAGTGGCAAAGCACTTGGGAAAGAGTTCTTAAGTATGACATAAAACACAGGAACTATGAAAGAAACGAAGCCACTGGAAAATAAGTTAACTGTTAATTATGGGAAAAGCAAAACATTTTACAAAATAGGAAATTCAATCCGATCACATTATAAGGCTCTGGCGTGAACATTTACATGGTTGTAATAATGGAGACACTGCATAGTAACTCAGTTAGAAATTGTGATAATGTTGAGTCGGGGAAGGAAGTAAAGGTTAAGTACTCATCAAAGTAGAAAGTAAACAGATATCTAAAATTAAAAACTCAGTAAGTTACAGAGGCATAGGACTTAAAGATATGGACATAAGTATTCCAAAACCTGCAAAGAGTTTGAAAGTAGCTGCCTCTGGAAAGAGAGAACTGGTGTGGGCCATGTGGTGTAGGGTTGCTGTTTTGGTCATACATAAGCCTTGCTCTTTTTATTTTCAACCACCTACCTGTCCCACTTGGCTTCACACAAATTTAAAACCACCCCAGAGGGCCACTGCGATCTAGCTGTGTGGGCCTCAGGCCATGTCCAGCCCAGGTCTGGTAAGCAGTCCCAGGAGGTGACGGCAATGGGCACTGCCCGGGTGCTTCGCATTCTAGGGAAGTCAGGCTCTGACCAAGAGCTGAGGCCTGGGCTGTTTCACTGCCCGGTTCAGGGCAGGTCTCAGAGATGCCCTCCCCTCTTACCCGTGCTTGGCAACCACCCTCTCTGACCTCACCGCCTTCAGCACTGCCCTCAGTCACAGCACTCCCCACCCTCCTGTCCTCAGCTGTTTCCTTGACTGTCGCTTCCAGGGGACTGTTTCTTCCAGAGAGAGTCCCCAGAAAGCCTGGAAGGTGCTCTGCTTATCGCTGTCCCCCCGACCCACCTCCGTGCCTGGCCCAGGGCCGGCGCACTGCAGGAACTCAACTCTTACAGCCTGCGTTCATGGACAAAGATCTCAAGAAACTAAAAGTGCTAGGTGGTGAGTGAGGCCCTGGCAGGCAGTCAGTCTGACCAGTTTGCCACACCTCACCTGGCTTGTATAATATGTTCTTGGACCAGCTGTGGTGCTGCACCCAGAGCCCCTGTGGGACCCCAGGAGCCTCAGCACTGCCTCTGCCCCTGAGGGAACAGATGTGAGCAAGATGCTAAAGGGGGCAGATGGGCTACCTCAATAAACCGTTTCCCACAAGTAACCCAGTTAATTTTTGGGGTGCCCAGAGAATGCACCAGGCATGGTACCACAGCTTTAGGTGCACTGGTTTTTTAATTCACTTAGAGACCATTTTACAGAGAGGGCACTGCAGGCTTGGAGCTTGGGGTGGGCACGCCAGGCTCCATCTCCTGCATTATGCCTTGGACTGAACCCAGGTGTTAACTCAAAACCTCAAGACAGAAGCCTGTCCCTCACAGGCAGGGACCCAGCATCTCCAGAAAAGGGCAGCTGGCCTAACCCAGTAGAGGGTGGTCAGGTCTGTGTGGTCCCCAATACACGAGCCCAACCACCCTGTTACGCCTGGGCCCCAGGCACACGACATGGTATTCCCAGGCCCCAAGGGTCAGGAATGGGAGTGGGGAGCAGGGAGAGGAAGGTTGCAGGGGAGGATAGGCAGATAATGTAAGATCTGGACTCAGTCTGCCTGGACCTGTCCTGGACATGGAGAAGAAACCCAAGGGAGCCAGGCCCTGCATTCCTGGTGCTGACAGCTCAGGGAAAAGCCCAGCACACATGCCAAAACAGAATCTTAGGGTCACTGGTATTGGGCAGAAGAGTAACAGCCAGTAGGCAGGAGATTAGGGAAGGGTCCTGGAGGAGGTGAGGACTGACTTGAGTCTTATGAGATGTGTGGACTTTAACCAAAGCAGGAGAGAAGGGCAATCCAAGCATGGGGAACAGAATGTGAGAAGGCACAGAGGCAAGGTGAGCAAGAGCATCTGGTGACAGGCAGTATTGAGGAGTAGGACTGGAGAGGAGGTACGTGGGGCCAGAGAGGTGAGCTTGTTTGTTGAGATTACTGTATTTACAGGAGAGTCACCTGACCCTGGATCCTGGAGCTGGACCTCCTCTTTGAGTTACAGGAGAGGAAGCTGAGGCTCACTCAGGGCAGCGGCTCTCCTACAGGGAGAGAGCAGGGCTGGAGTCTGAACCCGGGACTTCTGCCCCATCCCGGTGCTCCTGCCATGCCACACCCCTGCCTTCCTCTCACCCGAAACTCTGACCTCTACTGGGCCCTGTCCTCTATATCCTGTGATAAACAGCTGATAACGGGAAGGGTCTACAGGGACTCTGGGTGGCCCTTGGTGTCTACAGATTAAATCCAACACAAAATAAGACTAAATCACCAATCTGGTCTCCCAACCCAGCTCTCTGCAATGGAGAGCAGAGACAGGAAAAGCTCCCTTCCTGCCAGGCTTGAGAAAGCTGCAGGGCCAATCCCTTCCCCTTCATCCCCACCCTACAAGCCCTTCCTGGGCTCCTGAGGGAGTAAGCAGAGCGTGGAAGGGGCTGGAGGTACTCACTGGGGTATGACAGGGCCTCCTCGGCGAAGCAGGTAGGGGAACCTTCTGCCTTTAATATTTCAAGATAGCAACAGACATAAGCACAAAAATCCCTGCAACAGGATACAAAATTAACACCCAGAAATCTGTGGCTTTCCTATACACTAACAATGAACCAATAGAAAGAGAAATCAGGAAAACAATTCCATTCACAATTGCATCAAAAAGAATAAAATACTTAGGAATAAACCTAACCAAAGAAGTGAAAGACCTATACCCTGAAAACTATAAGACACTCTTAAGAGAAATTAAAGAGGACACTAACAAATGGAAACTTATCCCATGCTCTTGGCTAGGAAGAATTAATATAGTCAAAATGGCCATCCTGCCCAAAGCAATATACAGATTTGATGCAATCCCTATCAAACTACCAACAACATTCTTCAATGAACTGGAACAAATAGTTAAAAAATTCATATGGAAACACCAAAGACCCTGAATAGCCAAAGCAATTCTGAGAAAGAAGAATAAAGGGGGGTATCTCACTCCCCAACTTCAAGCTCTACTACAAAGCCACAGTAATCAAGCCAATTTGGTACTGGCATAAGAACAGAGCTACAGACCAGTGGAACAGAATAGCGACTCCAAACGTTAACCCAAACATATATGGTCAATTAATATTCGATAAAGCAGCCATGGACATACAATGGGGAAATGACAGTCTCTTCAACAGATGGTGCTGGCAAAACTGGACAGCTACATGTAAGAGAATGAAACTGGATCACTGTCTAACCCCATACACTAAAGTAAACTCCAAAGACATGAATGTAAGTCATGAAACCATAAAACTCTTAGAAAAAAAAATAGCCAAAAATCTCTTGGACATAAACATTAGCAACTTCTTCATGAACATATCTCCCCGGGCAAGGAAAACAAAAGCAAAAATGAACAAGTGGGACTATATCAAGCTGAAAAGCTTCTGTACAGCAAAGGACACCATCAATAGAACAAAAAGGTACCCTACAGTATGGGAGAATATATTCGTAAATGACAGATCCGATAAAGGCCTGACATCCAAAATATATAAAGAGCTCATGCACCTCAACAAACAAAAAGCAAATAATCCAATTAAAAAATGGGCAGAGGAGCTGGACAGTTCTCCAAAGAAGAAATTCAGATGGCCAACAGATACATGAAAAGATGCTCCACATCACTAGTTATAAGAGAAATGCAAATTAAAACCACAATGAGATATCACCTCACACCAGTAAGGATGGCTACCATCCAAAAGACAAACAATAACAAATGTTGGCGAGGTTGTGGAGAAAGGGGAACCCTCCTACACTGCTGGTGGGAATGTAAATTAGTTCAACCATTGTGGAAAGCAGTATGGAGGTTCCTCAAAATGCTCAAAATAGACTTACCATTTGACCCAGGAATTCCATTCCTAGGAATTTACCCTAAGAATGCAGCACTCAAGTTTGAAAAAGACAGATGCACCCCTATGTTTATCGCAGCACTATTTACAATAGCCAAGAA